TAGGGATCTGGTAATTGTACGAAGGTTTGGAATGACTACCTTCGAAGGTTCTTTTTGCCTTTGAAAAAAAGGACTTCTGGACTATTCTATAACTAGTGGAAATGAAGATGGTATTGAAGTGCAAGGCTGGAATTTAAACATATTGAAGTGCAACTGCTGGAATGTAAGAAAGGAAGTATTGGACTTAACTCAAACATTTTGAGAATTCATTGCCAAAATGAATGCTATATGAAATAACAAAGTACTGGACTCAACTTAAAAGAATGTAAATTCATTGCTGGAATGAGAAATACATGAAATAACAAGATGCTAAATTTAGACATAATGTAAATTCGTTGCGGAAATGAAAGATACATGAATAGCAAAGATGCTATATTGATGTGTTGTGTGAGTTGAGCAGGATTTGCATGTTAGGCCTAAGTGCTTTATTTATAGAGTTTTCTTACAATACTTGGAAATGTGGCCATTTCAGCAGCTTCTACATGGCCTTTCCTTAGACTGCCAAGTGTCCTATGATCTTCCAGCCTTTAATGTTGACATGTGTAAAATCACGCTCTCCTATGATCTACAACTGATAAATAGTGGTCTTTGGCAGTTGAATGCATGTTTACAAGCCTTTACCTTTGATCTATAACTACCAGTTTCTAACAACAATTAAGAACTTCCACCTGGAAGGTCCAGATCATACCACGTGTCCCATGTTTTCAGCCCACTTGCTGATTTTTAGCAACCTTCTCACCTAAATAAGGTAAGTGGTTGCCTTATTCTTGGAGTGACTCCTACAAACTAGGAGATGTTATAGGAGTAAGAGAGTTGCCATTCTTGATGACTACGTCAAAGGTACACATGGATTTCTTGATGTTTGCTATGTGGTAGTAATAGACCACGTGTGCTCTTATGGTGGGCTCTCATCTCACTAGATTTCCCTTACTATTGACCTGGTCTTTAGTGCCACGTACCAGATCTCAGTGGCTCCACACTGCATGTTATGTGGGACTACTTGTAGGGTAACATTCCTCTTCCAGTTGCTGAAACTAATCTAGAGTGGCAAGTTCCCTTGGAACTCACCACATGTCAATTTTCCATTTGTCAAAAATAATGGGATAAACATATGCCCCCCAAATTTCATGCCTTGTGGAGTAGTCGATCACAAGGTGTGGAATTTTATATTTTGAGCGAGGCTTTGGCATGTAACAAAAACCTTCCATAATGGTTGTCATTGTAGCTTCCATTATTCTTCACAACTCAGATTGCAGTTTGGAAAATAAAACTAACTTTTAATAGGATGTGTATGTAAAATAAGCAAAATGAGTAATTTCCAGTATGAGTAGAACCTGGATCATGTATTATAGTCCCTTTTTCAATGAAACGTTCCATACTTAGGAAATTAGCTGATCTTGGAAATACAGCTAAGTCTACTTCATGGCTCTGGCCAATGTAATCCTTTTCAAGTACTTAGTCTTTCCTCCTTTGAATAAATGATCCTTCACAGGCTTAGACTTAGTTGTTGGGATGTCTATGTGTGGCCATTTGATTCCTTTCTAGCTTTCTGGTTTACTTAGAAAGGAAACTACCAACCACTTCATATGGCCCGTTGAAGCACTATGGCTTTTCATTCTTCATAGATGGAAGGGTGATAATCTTTCATCCTATTCATTCCCCCCCCCTCCCTAGGGTCTGAAAGTTTATAAGGAGGACGTATTTGTTCATCTTTTGGCTAAATAAATTGTTGGTTAGCCATGCTTTCCCCCCAAACACCACTGGAAGTAGGTTTGGGTCTACTGGAAGGTTGTTGCTCCATTGAAGTTTCATTGGAGGGGGTTGTCCTTCAAACACCATTGGAAAGGCCATAGGTGGCCTAAGTGGCATGGTTGCAAATTGTTGAATGCTCATAAATGGAACATGAAATAGAGGTGGTTGGACTATTGGTGGTGGAAGACACTGCACCTGAGGTGGAACCTACACCTGTAGTGGAAGTGGTTGAACTACTACTGGTGGAAGGTTTTGTACTTGGGGTTCTACTTGAAGTGAAACCTAAACTGGTGGTGATTGTGGTTGCATTACCGGTGGAATCGACCAACCTTAAGGTTGATTGACCCCTTGATGCCCCCCACCTACCATTGGCAGTGGGTTGGCATTTGCATGGTTGTTCCTCCAGCGGTTTCTTCCTCCTTGATCTGAAAGTAGCTCTCTTGGAAAAGGTTGCCCCCCAACCGCCATAGGAATGGCCATGTGTGGCCTTGGAAGTGTAGCTGCTGTTGGCTGAGTGTTCACAGGTAGAACATTCTGTTGTCTTTAAAGAATGTGGTATGGCCATGTTTGGCTAGGCTGATTATGCCAAGTCTGATGTGGAAACACCATAGGTGGAGGGTTCTGAACTTACTGAATGACTAGCATAGGCGCTAATTGTGGAATGGTCATCTGCGCCACTGGAGAAGCCATAGGTGCAACTGAAATGTAAGTCTGTGCCATAGGAATATATTGCATCTGCTGCTGATTTGGAAGGAATGAACCTGCATGTTATTGAGAGGGACCGCCTTCAACAAATGTAGTTGGCATGTTGACTTAAAAGGCCGACTGTTGAGTCTTTTCATAATTGTTTGACTGAGGGGCCAAAGCTTGAGTCAAGCTTCCAAAGGACCGTTCTAACATAGATTCGAACCTATAAGAGATTCGGTCCACCATTTCTTCTAACTTCCACTCTTGAGAATAAGTGGCTCTTGTTTGTTCTTGAGCCGCTTTTGCCTGTTATTGAGTGGCCTTTGCTAAGTTTTGAGCGACTTTTGCTTAGTCTTGCACAAACTTGTCTTGTTGCATAGCCATCATGCGGATGTTTTCCATTATGGGTCCATTTGCCATTGTTTTATCAAACTTTTCCACCATATCTCTTTTATTAGGTGCAAATTGTGAACTTTCAACTGGAAGTTCACTGGCTTGCATCTTTTCTATTTCGGTAGGGTCCTGTGCAGACTTGTCTTGCCTCTTTCCACCACCATTGAACAATCTGTCAGGATGTCCAGCTGGGTATGCCAATATGTTTGGCTCGCGAAAAATGGTTCGTCTTTTTGGATAGTGTGGAGAGTAAAATAGTAGTGTGGGTGTTGCAGGCATGCCATGAATTGCTTTTGTTCCAAAGTGGATATCCAAACAATATTCCAGTTGGAGATTGTAGTGATTTGGTGATTGCACGAAGGTGTGCAATGACCACCTTCAAAGGTTCTTTTTGCCTTTGAAAAAAAGAACTTCTGGACTATTCTATGACTAGTGGAAATGAAGACGGTATTGAAGTGCAAGGATGGAATTTAAAGAAATTGAAATGCAACTGGTGGAATGTAAGAAAGGAAAACTACTTGACGGAAAATAGTGAAAGGAAGTACTGGACTTAACTCAAACATTATGAGAATTCATTATTGAAATGAATGTTATATTGAATAGCAAAGTACTGGACTCAACTTAAAAGAATGTAAATTCATTGCTGGAATGAGAAATACATGAAATAGCAAAATGTTAAATTTAGACATAATGTAAATTCATAGCGAAAATGAAAGATACATGAATAGCAAAAATGTTGTATTGATGTATTGTGTGTGTTGAGCAGGATTTACATGTTTGGCCTAAGTGCTTTATTTATAGAGTTTTCTTGCAGCAGGTGGATATGTGGCCGTTTTAGCAGCTTCCACGTGGCCTTTCCTTAGACTGCCAAGTGTTCCATGATCTTCCAGCCTTCTCTCAATGTTGACACATGTAAAATCATGTTCTCCCATGATCTACAACTGATAAATAGTGGTATTTGGCGGTTGAATGCATGTTTGCAAGCCTTTACCCATGATCTGTAACTGCATAGATAGAAATGCGGCGGTTTCTAGTAGCAGTTGAGAACTTCCACCTGAAAGGTTCGGATCATGCCATGTGTCCCATAATTTCTCAACTTTCTTTAGTAAATGCATCATGTATTCAGCCCACTTGTTAATTTTTAGGAACCTCCTCACCTAAATAAGACAAGTGGTTGCCTTATTCTTGGAGTGACTCCTATAAACTAGGAGATGTTATAGGAGTGAGAGAGTTGTCATTCTTGATGACTAGGTCAAAGGTACACATGGCTTTCTAGATGTTTGCCATGTGGCAGTAATAGACCATATGTGTTCTTATGGTGGGCTCTCTTTTTCAATAGATTTCCTTTACCATTAACCTGGTCTTTAGTGCCATGTGGCAGATCTCAGTGGTTCCACACTACATGTTATGTGGGACTATTTGTAGGGTAACATTTCTCTTCCAGTTGCCGGAACTAATCTGGAGTGAAACTCGCCACATGTCAACTTTTCATTTGTCAAAATTATTGGGATAAACATAAACAATAAATACACCACAACAATGTACTCAGAAGGAACTTGAGATCTATAATAAAACATGTGTCATGGTCGCGCCTTTTATTATTTTCAATTATTATTATTATTTTTTTCATGTCAACCTTGTTGATCCATTATCTTTTGAGTTGGAGCTGATATTCTTCCTTTCCTTTTTATTTTTTTATCTATTACATTTTCTAACTTTTTCTTTTCTTATTTTCTAAAATGGTTTTTGTATTATTTTAATTAAAAAGTGACAAAATGAAATTTCTTTTTTTTAAAATAAAATGCTATGGCTTGATGCAAGGATAGAATGTTCAAAATGATCAACTATGAAGCATAGACGGTGTTAAAGAGCCATTTTTCTTAATAATACGAAATAGTTACTTACATTTGAGAGTTACTCGTCGGAACCAGAAGGAAAAAGACAAAAAAGTCCCATCACAGAAATAGTTACTTACTATTGACAGTTACAACACGCTTGGTACGAGAAGGAAAAAAACCAAGGAAGCCCCCATCACACAAACAAGAATCAAGACTGCTATCTTGGTGCTGCGGTCAAACGCTCATTGGCGTGCTGCGGTCAAAATTTATGTTTCGCAGTGATAGTTTGATACAGGTTACCAAAATATTGTGTGGTTTATCTTTGTATTTTCTTAAAGTGTGATAACCGGACAACTGTCAGTGTTGGAGAAGAATTTGATCTTTAAATACTTAATTTAGGTACTTGTATATATTTATTCATTTTCAGTGTTGCAAAGGAAAATAGAAGCCAAAAAATGGAAAAGAAAGTAGTAGCAGAAGAAGGTCAAGAGGAAGAGCTTGCTCTTCAAATCCCTCTTCTCACTCCATACAAACGGGGGAACTTCCAACTTTCCCATAGGTATATATCTTATCAACACTACCAATTTCCCATGTTTTCCCACTTGAATTCTGATATTGTTGTTCTAGTTTTACAGTATAATATGCAGTGTGTGTGTGTGTATATATATAATCTAATATTATTGGTTTTTTATTTTTTATGCATATTTGTTGTTGCTGTATAGATTTGTTGTAGCATGAATCTAAATTGTTACGCATCAAGTGTTTGATGAAAATCCAGTTGACAAATTCTTTGACTCGTGAAATTTAGTAATTCATTGTCAATTAACTTCCCTGTATTCAGCAAATTCTGTGTAGTTAGTGAGTATGTTAGTAGTATTTCGAAAAATGAAAAGTTGTTTTTCTCCAAGGGCTGAGTAGACTACCTAAAAAACCAAGTCCCAACGTGTTTTTTTTTTTTTTTTTTTTTTTTGTAATTTATCTATAGATTATATTTTTTTGTCGTCATATATATATATTTATATATATTATTTTTATGAATGTTCTGTCATTTTTTAAAGCAAACATTTAAACCTTTGTGCTAGATTTAGACATAAATAAAGCATCCAATGTTTGCAAGATACCCTAGTTAAATTATCTCTGGTGCTGTTTTGGCGATTAATATTGCATGGCCTCCATGACTTTGCAAGGTACTCTAGTTAGATTGGATTGTTGTTCAATCATGAGAATGCTTCTTTAGGGTTTAAGAGTTCTTATGAATATGTTAGGTACTCAAGATCATGTCACTCTTGATTATAAAAGGCCTATACCACTTTTGCTTTTCTAGTTACTGAAATGACCAGCTACATTCCCCATCCGAACCCGCAACGCCCTTGTCAGACCTTCCTACCTACCCCTCATATGAACTTCCCAACGCCCTCGCCAGACCATGTCACTCTTGATTATAAAAGGCCCATTCCATTTTTGCTTTTCTAGTTGCTGAAATGACCAGACCAGAGCTAGACCAGAGCTCTCGCCAGACCAGAGCTAGATTCCCCCATCCGGACCCGCAACGCCCTCGTCAGACCTTCCTACCTACCCCTCACCCGAACTTCCCAACACCCTCATCGGGCCTTCCTACTTACCCGTCCACTTTTGCTTTTCTAGTTCCTGAAATGGCCAGCTACATTCTCCCCACCTTCTTGCCTACCCGTCCACTCTATGGTTGGAGGACCTGGTAAGGACCGGGACATGGACTTGAGCCACCATGTGGGCCCTTGGCGTGACATTGGATTAAGGACTTGGCCTACTTTGATACCATTTGTAACAGGCTAGACGCTTACCATCCGACCCAAAAGCTTAAGCTGTTAGTGGTATTGCCTACCTGACCCTAATAAGCCTAAGACCCTCTCCATCTGGATCTAATGTGGGACAAGAACTTACACCAGCCCCATGTGTCTCTTTTGAAGTTCTAACACAACTCTAGTTTTCTTAAGTTGAACTTGAGTTGGCATTTTGAGCTTCAAGTAGCAAAACCAATGAAAATGTTTTTCCCGGCTATGGTTGGAAATTGTTTTCTTTTCTATCATTAATTTGTATTGCCAAGTGTTAATCTGTGTCACACAGAAAAGTTTTCAACTCATTATTATCAAATGCATGAAATTTAATAAATTGTTTTGAACTGAGGAAAAATAAGTGCCTTTTCTTTGCCGAAATGTGAAACTTAATTATGTAGGGATATAAACAAAAAAGAACTTAGGAAAGAGGTGAGAATTTTTTAATGATATAATTCCAAGAATTGGAAAGAAATAAGGGAAGCAGTGGCAGAATCTGGCAATCTGCAAAATAGTATGTGTTAGTTACACCAATCTTTATTGCATAGCATGTGGATCTGTCATGATGAATTAGAAAGAAAAAATGCTTGCCTCCTCACCGGAGAGCAAGATTCTCCTCCTCACCACTGATGTGGCCCAATGATAGGTGTCGATTCTGAATTTAAAATGTAAAAGACAAAAAAAGAAGAAGAAAGTCTTTAACTTTTCCGCTCTTATTTTAAATCCAATAATGGGCACATTTCATTCTATCATTGCGCTACATCAGTAGTGAGGAGAAGGTTCCTACTCACTGGTGAGTAGGCAAGTGTTGTTCAATTAGAACAAAACTCCTTATATCACTGGAACCATATTGTTCCTACTGCCGATTAATCTTAGTAAAGACGTAGTTAGTAGCAGCATCATAGCATTTCCCGTAACATATTTAGTTGAGATGAGAAATCAAAATGGTAGTACCTGGAGGATCTAAAAATTTCAAAATGGTTGTACCTGGAGGACCTAAAAATTATTGCATTCAGTGGTTATTCCCCACCCCTTATGTGGTTGCCCTCATTGTATGTTCACTCTGCTTCAGTAAGAATGTAAAGGAAAACGAAACAGAATGAAATGGAGCTAAAAGCAGCCGACCTTGGAAGACTGATCAGATATTTATTTGAAAATTTATGCATTTCATAGTCCTTAAATACTCCAAATGATGGATTGGAAGGCTGCATCTCATTAGTAGGCATTCTCATCCAATTTTTTTTTAGAGGAATGCACTCTGTTTGAATTTTCTTATTTAGGTGGCTTATAAAACTAATATTTGATCGTTTTCCTCTTCTTCTTTTTTTTTTTTTCATTTTTTTTTTCCCCCAACAATAGATTTATCAAAACACAACTTTTATACATAATAGTGCTGAATACTTTTAATCAGAACAAATGTCAAGCAATCATTTTGCAAGAGAGATGATTTAGACTCTGAGATTGCGCTTTCTAGATGTTTAAATGTCTGCCCCTTAATTAGTTTGGTTTCTTGATTCAATGTTATTTTCATACTTAGTGTACAACTGTACATGTAGATACATATGTAATTAGAAAAGAAATTATGATAATTACATCTTGAAAATCTCAAAGTTTTCCTGTTCTTGTTAATTATACACTGTATTGTATTTTTCAAATTTCAATCCTAAGCAAGCTATTGTAATGAAATTTAGAGCCAGTGAATCGCCTAACTATACTTTGAACTTCTTAGGGACTACATAGATGTAATTATTCTAGTTTATTACTTCCTTTAACAATAATTTCCAATACCTAGTAACTGTTTTGCGCTCCACTATTTTCAGAATTGTTTTGGCACCATTGACTAGGCAGAGATCTTTCGGAAATGTTCCTCAGCCACATGCTATCTTGTATTACTCTCAGAGAACCACCAAAGGAGGCCTTCTCATATCAGAGGCCACTGTAGTTTCTGACACAGGCCGAGGGTGATCACTAGTTTTACTTGTCCGAGTTCTTTGGGGTCATAGATTTAAAAAACAACATACTTATTTAAGAATACGTAGTTTCATCAGTAGTTTTGCTTTCTTCACTATAGGATCCCAGTTACACCTGGTATATGGACAAAGGAGCAAGTAGAAGCCTGGAAACCCATAGTAGATGCTGTGCATGACAAAGGCGGTATCTTTTTTGCCAGATTTGGCATGTGGGGAGGGTTTCAAATCAAGGTATTTTTTTGACTTCTTAGCTCATTTATTCTTGTCATGGGATGACTTTTAACCAAGCACCACTTAGGATAGGGTAAGTTAAATGTTTCAAACGTGCTTCTTTTTTTTTTTTTTTTTTTGGCAAAACAGGATGTATTAGTATCCACAAGTTTGAACTGCCTTAAACAATTCATCAGATTTAAAACTACCTTTCTAGGTTTCTTTTCTCCTATTGGAAAAAAAAAATAGCTTTCTTGTTTGTGCAACAGAATTTTTTGGTAGAACTTTTTGCTTGCTAGTTTTCAGCTGTTGCATTGTTATATTTAAATATATACGAATTTTTTTTTGGTTTATGTATAAATTTACCAATATATTTTTTCCTGTATCTCAGGCAATAAATGGGTGTTTTTGAAAATTTTGTTTTCGTTGATTCCTGTCCCAATAGTCGGTAAATGGGCGTTTTTGCAAATTTGGTTTGGTTGATTACCTGTCAAATGGGTGTTTTTGCAAGTTCCCTGTAAAATGCTAGCTAAATGCAAGCTTTACCAGAATGAAAAAGGGAAAAAGGGGAAAAGAAAACTTAAGACATAAGTTCCAATTTACATATAATCATGATAAGGCAACATTCTACTGTAAGAACATTTTGTAAACATGTTTTAGAAGCTCACAAGAAATATATTCTAAATTTAAACCATTATAAATAACCCCTTAAGGTTTGGATTCGGAGTGTAGATCCTGGTATTAGTATCACCCAATCTAACAAAAAACCTCATTGATATAACCTTGGAGACCAATATTCTGTTCCATGCCATGTTGAAAATGCCCACAGTTGGTAATTTGGATGATCCATATAACTCATAAAATACAACATTAAAATTGTCGTGTAGCCACTAATTTTCAACTGTTCTTAGTTTAAGAAATATTAATAATGATGGAGAAGGTTTTGTATTGTCAATTGCAATCACATTGAATAAGGGATTTTGTAATATTAATTAAAAGTTGGTGGTGTATAGTGACCATAAACTACGGAACATATCTTCTTCTTCTTTACTTAAACAGAGTCCAGGTACAATTGGCCATTGTTATGTCAAATTGAAAAAATATATTACGAAGACAGTGATAAACAAATGGAGATTTGTGAATGCATATTTACAAGCCTGTGAGTGCTAATTTTGCTATGTAGCATGCTCCTATAAAAAAAGGTCAGTAAGTGGGCTTCCAGGCGAGTCTAAAGGATAATGAATTGCAATACAAAAATTTTATGTCCACATTTTTTTTTTTAAGCTACCCTTAAAATTGGCTAGAAACCTCTTCCCCCTCAAAGGGCTATCATTTCTTGAATGCCAAACATTTTATTGGGGTCATCCATGTTGTAGTTTCTGACACAGGCTAGTTTTACTTATCCGAGTTCTTTGGGGTCATAGATTTAAAAAACAACATACTTATTTAAGAATATGTAGTTTCATCAGTAGTTTTGCTTTCTTCACTATAGGGTCCCAGATACACCTGGTATATGGACAAAGGAGCAAGTAGAAGCCTGGAAACCCATAGTAGATGCTGTGCATGACAAAGGCGGTATCTTCTTTTGCCAGATTTGGCATGTGGGGAGGGTTTCAAATCAAGGTATTTTTTTGACTTCTTAGCTCATTTATTCTTGTCATGGGATGACTTTTAACCAAGCACCAGTTAGGATAGGGTAAGTTAAATGTTTCAAATGTGCTTCTTTTTTTTTTTTTTTCTGGCAAAACAGGATGTATTAGTATCCACAAGTTTGAACTGCCTTAAACAATTCATCAGATTTAAAACTACCTTTCTATTGGAAAAAAAAAATAGCTTTCTTGTTTGTGTAACAGAATTTTCTGGTAGAACTTTTTGCTTGCTAGTTTTCAGCTGTTGCATTGTTATATAGAAATATATACTAATTTTTTTTTGGTTTATGTATAAATTTACCAATATATTTTTTCCTGTATCTTAGGCAATAAATGGGTGTTTTTGAAAATTTTGTTTTTGTTGATTCCTGTCCCAATAGTCGGTAAATGGGCGTTTTTGCAAATTTGGTTTGGTTGATTACCTGTCTCAAATATTTGATCCAGGGGGAGTTTTTAAATTTTTATTTATTAAACTTCACTGGTAGTTGTTGCTTGATAATGTGCAGGAAACATGTCAAGCTTTGAATCCAAGAAGAACAGTGTTCCTATTACCTTTAAGCAAATCATGTAATTTACTTTTCTGCTTTGGGTAGATTGCAAATATTGTTTTTAGGATTTTGTCACGAAATTGCCAAAGGGGGAGATTATGAGATATTATTTATTTTTGGCAATTATCGTAGACATAACAAGTCCAAGTTGAGTTGTAATTGAAATTACTTGTTCTACAAGTCATCAAGTTCAACAGGGATTCCACAACTGGAAGGAGTTCAAACTTACCATACTTGAAGAGTGTGTGATGAAAAGGGTAAGGACACTACATTAGGAAGGAATATGAACAAGGTTGGACATTCTACACTTTCCATGTTAGTCTACAATTTTCGTAGAATGAACCAAGGCTGAAGGAATTCGAAATCCAAGTTGCTGTTGGACGGGGGGTTGCAAAGCCAGAGGATTGTCAGCGGTTGGTGTGGTGTAGAACGATAGGGTGTGAGCCAGAGTCAAAGTTCGGTATACTTTGTTTCAAGCATAGTGGATTGGTTTATTTTGGACTGCACAAGTCCACGAGGTTTTTCCTATAACAGCTGACGTATTTTATCAATTGGGGTTTCCTCGCTAAAATCCTGGTGTCATCTCTAACTTTATACTTTGCTTTATTTTATCTGCATGTGATTAACTGTTTAATTGCTAAAATATAAAATAAGTAAAGTAGTTAATAACACAGATTTGTTTTATAAAACAAACAAAAACTTTCCTATATACATTCCACTGCGTACGACTCACAATTTGGTGTCAGAGCCAACTTCTATACATTGAGTTGATCCTTACTGGAAAGTTTTGTTTTGTATTCAAAAATTGTTTTCATCATGTTTAAAAATTCTAGAAGGTTCCTTAAAAATAGAAAAAATATTAATTGTAATAAAGGAGATCCTTCTAAATTGAAAGATAAGGAAAACAATAAAGATGCTTCTATTGCTTTTATTGCCCATATTCATAATGATCCTACTAATAATTCTTCTTTGTGTGTAGGAAATCTTACCCAACTTGAGTTATTAAGCATGGATGTCAAGGAGCAATCTAAGAAGTTGAGAGAAATAGAAAGCATGAATGATGCCTTAAAAAAGGAAAGAGATACCTTGAAGATGGAGAATGATTCCTTGAAGAAGGAGGATAAGCAAAAACAGAAATTACTTGAGGAGAACAAATCTGAAATTCAAAATCTTCATGACAAGGTAAAATTCCTTGAGAGCGAGGTAAGTCAAGCTAATTCTGCTAGAGAATCTGTTATTGCCAAATTTAATTTTCTTGAACTTGAATTGAAAAAATCTCAAGAGAAATTAATTACTTTTACTTCTGGGCAGATTAAGCTTGAAAAGATGATTAGTGTTGGTAGAAATGGCAAATTCCCCATCCCCGCCGGGTCCCCGCCCCGTTTATAGCGGGGATGGGGACCATTTTATGTAAACGGGGATAAGGATGGGGGTAAATTTTGAAAACCCGGCGGGGATGGGGGCGGGGGCTGGGATGGGGTAAACTCGCCCCGCCCCGCCCTGCCCCGATTAAGTGTTAAATTACTAATATATCCTTACATTTAATAATTTATTACTAAATTTGATTTAGTTTATATATGAAAATAAGAAAAATTAAGTTTTTTTATAAAAATAATATATGTTAATCGGGGCCGAGGTCGGGGATGGGGATATGGGGTCGGGGGCGGGGGCGGGTATGGGGGTGGTGGTGAAATTTTAAGCGGGGATGGGGGCGGGGATGGGGATTGAAAAATTCAGCGGGGACGGGGATGGGGAATGAGATCCCCGCCCCGCCCCGCCCCGCCCCGCCCTGCCCCATTGCCACCCCTAAGTGTTGGTAAGCATGTAAGTGATAAAACTAGATTAGGTTTTAATGAGGCTTCATCTAGAAAAAAGGCTCAAACTATTTTTGTTAAACCAATGAACTTGAATGTGCCTATTGTTAAACCTAAAGTTTTTGTTGAGCCTATGCATGCTAAGAATGTGTCCAAGGTGCTGTATTGTTCTTATTGTGGTAGAACTAGACACAGTTAACACTATTGTTATAAAAAGAAAAGAGATAATTCTTTTTATGATTTTCATGATTATAATTCCTTTGCACAAAATAGGTTTCATGCTACAAAGCAAAATTGGAATAAACCTAGAAATTTTCGTGCTAAAAGGAATTCACACTGGAAAAAGAAAGATTTTTCTAATTTTGATTCTCATGATCTTCATGCAAAGAAAAATGTGTTTTCTAAAAAGAAATTATCACCTAAGGTTTCTAGAACTGAAATTTTGCCTAAGAAAGAGGTAAAGAGAGAAAAAGAATTTCAGGAAGTGAGAGTGAAAGCTATGTGGATCAAAAAGTCTGATTTGATCAATTATGTGCCTGTTGAGTCCGTGGAACTAGTTTCCAAAAGGACTTTACACTCAAACTGAGTTCTATAAGATTCAATGATCATGGCATGTGTTTAGAAAAAAAAATCTTGTTGCCATTAGATTATTTGTTAGGGTTCGGTTAGGGTTTGATTTTCTGATCATAATCTTTTTGATAGACATGTGAAAATTCTTTTGAAGAATTTATAATCTATCTTTGAAAGCAAATAGAGACACATGATAATCTGAATAAAAATAGATTCTCGGTCTATAATCTATACAGTGAAAGATGATTTGCATTGTTTAAGGGATTTTTAGATTTGAATCTATTAAGTTCATAGACTTTTGTGCACTAGTCCATCTTTGACAAATTTGGTTGAAAATCTTTTGATCTGTTGACTAGGGTTTATTGTTCACAAAAGGTATAAAGGTTATTGTTTAAAAAATAGGAGCTAAAAACAAAATAAAAAGATTGAAAAAAAAATATTCAGCAAAAACAAGAAAAGAGAAAAAAATATATGCTGAATAAATTGCTAAGGAAAAGGCTACCTATTGAGATTTTATCTAAAACTCTCATTAAACTATGAATTGAAGCGAAAAGTGGAGATAAGTTGAGTTGGGGAATTGCTGACTACTCTTTAGAGTGAAAGCCACTTTGAAAAAAATTGCTCAAAACAATTTTATCTTGATGTTTTTCTATCAATAAGGTTTAGACAATGATCTGTTGAAATTCAACTGAAGATGGATTAGATTGGATTTCACACACACACATGAACTTGCTAGATTAATTTCTAAATCTTTTAGTAAAATTTGCAAGTTTGATTTCTTGTTGTGATTACTTTCTGAGATTTGAATTTATCTGAAGTCTGTGGAGACGAATATTTGTTCTCTGAGATAATTTTAAAATTATCTGAAAGGGTTTTGAATCGTGTGTTGACGGGATGGTTTTCATGATTGGTGATTTTATTTTTAGTCTTATTAAAAAAAATTTTGGAAATTTTGAAAAATTCAAAAAGATTTTGATTTTTAGGTTTTTAGTTTGTTTTGTTGCTAGTTTTAATCACTGATGTGTTAAAATTTTCTGGAAATTCATTGGAATAGTTATTTTTCAACAACAACACTGTAGTTTCAAGACTGGAGGTCTTGAACCGGTTCAATGAGGGATGAACCGGTTCAAGCATGTCATTTGGCCACGATCAAGTGACTGTCTATCTTGAAACGGTTCAAGATTGTGGAAACGGTTCAAGTCTTGTGCACCATAGTGCACTGCCCTTTTTGAACTGGTTCAAGAGGGCTGAACCGGTTCAAGAGCAAGGGAATTGGGTTTTAAAAATGCTTCAGGTCTCATTATTGCATAGACTCATCATCTCTCTTGCTCTTTCTCTCACTCCATATCTATACACAACTCAAACATAAATATCCATATGCATTATATCATATATTTATGTCATTCATTCATGATATATATGATCATTGCATAATATTCATGAGATTGAAAACAAGAATTGGGTGTGAACATTGAAAATTGCAAAATGGGTTTCAATAAGTTTTATGGAGGTTGGGATTAGAACTTAGAGGATTGGTTAATCTTTTGAGTTGATCGAAGAGATTAAAGCTTGATTGTACTTGGAGAATACAACTTTGCATTTGTTGATTGTTTTTGAGGGAGATGATGAAAATGAGGCTGAGTATACAGATGCGGATGAGGAGGATGAGGATGCAAAAGGGAGTGGTGAAGAGGATGCAGAAGAAAGTAATGAAGACTAGGGATGATGTTTTTTTTCTCTGAGTTATGGAGGGGACATGATGCTACTTTTAATGTCATTTTTACATGCATCATGACATCATGGTTTGTTTAATTTTTGCACAACTTGTCTTTGTTTTTGGATATTCTTGGAATATGCTTTCTTAGACTTTATGCTTATCAGAATTGTGCTTTAATTGTCTTCATTGAATTGAAATTTACTGTGCTAGTATTCTTTCACTCCTTTGTCAATTTGTTACAAAAAGGGGGAGTCAACCTGTCAATTTGAGGGGGAGATAATATGGGGGTCCACCTATCAATTTGAGGGGGAGATATTATGGGGGAAGATATAATTGGATATTTAATCCAAGGGGATTTTTTAAATTTTTATTTATTAAACTTCACGGGTAGTTGTTGCTTGATAGTGTGCAGGGAACAGGTCAAGCTTTGAATCCAAGAAGAACAGTGTTCCTATTACCTTTAAGTAAATCATGCAATTTACTTTTCTGCTTTGGATAGATTGCAAATATTGTTTTTAGGGTTTTGTCGAAATTGCCAAAGGGGCAGATTGTGAGATATTATTTATTTTTGGCAATTATCGTAGACATAACAAGTCCAAGTTGAGTTGTAATTGAAATTACTTGTTCTACAAGTCATCAAGTTCAATAGGGATTCCACAACTGGGAAGGAGTTCAAACTTACCATACTTGAAGAATGTGTGATGAAAAGGGTAAGGACACTACATTAGGAAGGAATATGAACAAGGTTAGACATTCTACACTTTCCATGTTAGTCTACAATTTCCGTAGAATGAACCAAGGCTGAAGGAATTCGAAATCCAAGTTTGCCAACCTTGAATCGGTTCAGCTTCCTTGAACCGGTTCAAGATGTTTAAGGTTGATACACTGCCAAACTTGAACCGGTTCAAGATCTTTTGTTTGCAATACAACTTCAGTTTCCTTTTTCCAATTTATTTCCTAGTTGGTCTAGAATTGTACCAAATCATATGCACGAAATTTACCTTATTTTCAGAGGGATTAGGTCATTCTATACTCTATATAAACCATGTCATATACATTGGTTTAGACATGGCTTTTGTGATACAAATTCATTATTCTTAAAAAGCCATAGGAAGTTTATTTCTCTCAGAAAATCAAAGTTGATTTTTCTGTAGTCTTCCTAGAACATACACTTATTCACCTAGTTAGGTTAGAGTTGTAGTGTTCGAATCCTGATCGTGATCATACAGTCATATCAACATCGATCAGACAAAACAGATCTTTTTCTACGTCATTCAGACGATTGGAAGGGTTGGAGCATTCATGGAGTGCCATCTGATCTACCTGCTACTCTTCTACAAATATCAAGTGTAAGCCTGAGATCAAGTTGCTGTTGGACGGGGAGTCACAAAGCCAGAGGATTGTCAGCAGTTGGTGTGGTGTAGAACGATAGGGTGTGAGCCAGAGTCAAAGTTCGGTATACTTTGTTCCAAGCATAGTGGATTGGTTTACTTTGGACTGCACAAGTCCACGAGGTTTTTCCCATAACAGTTGACGTATTTTATCAACTGGGGTTTCCTCGCTAAAATCCTGGTGTCATCTATAACTTTATACTTTGCTTTATTTTATCTGCATGTGATTAACTGTTTAATTGCTAAAATATAAAATAAGTAAAGTGGTTAAGGACACAGATCTGTTTTATAAAACAAACAAAAACTTTCCTATATACATTCCGCTGCGTACGACTTACAGACTGTAAAGAACATCTAGTGATAACTAGCTGACATGAGTGTGGCTAAATGGATATACCAAGAGATCATTTGAGAACATAAACAACTGAGTTGATGTCTGTTGAGCACCATCGTGTGGCTAACACATCTCAGTGGACACTTGGTATCTTTCTTTCTACGACCAGCCCTGATATAGATTGTGATTGTCGATACACCTTGTTAAGCCCTCAGTTTTAGCCTTGAGGATACAAGACCACTAAAATACCATTCTGGGCTCAAGGAGTTCCCTGGATCCCATTATTGATCTAGCAGGAATAAATTCAATAGGGTGCATGTGTCTAAAGGCGACTATGGTGGGGTTAAGTGTCAAAGAGCGAGGTAGTAGAGAATGTCCTGGTGGGAGGCTGTGCAATTTAGGAGATAGCTCAAGCTAAAGGGACAATCCAAAGTGTTTTGCTTTAGCTGGCTTGAAATGGGCATTTTTTCTCTCCTAGGGTTTACATTCCATTCCACTTTCTGCCTCTAAAATCCTTCCCTAATCAAGTCACCTTTCTTATATCAAAGAAGATGGAGAATTCAAGCTTCTTATATTACAGAAATCTCAATTGCGTTGCAAAAGGGGTTGGCATGAGTGGCCTCGGTGTTCTTTACATCTCTTGAATGTTTAATGTGTGAACCACAACACCTCCAACAACGAAGACAAAGACGAAGATGAGACCAAGGGTTGCGCTTTTATGCTCACCAAATTCCAAAACAAATAGTAATAACACCAAAATTTCCCCTCTGTTGATAACCTCCCCGTCTTTGGTACATT